GTCAGTTACGTCTTTGTGATGCTTTGTCATGTGGTCTGCAAGGTGTTGAACAATTGTCGGTTCCTTGATCGTCTCCAATCCTCCTAGTCCGCCTATTATTGCTGAATTTGTCTGTCGGCCGCGTTTTTCTCTAATCCGATACTTTTACTCATAATTTAAAATATTTTTGTCGTTAAGAACTGTAGAAAAAATAGAATTTAAAACGAATATAAATTCTTGATAAAAAGATAGCGTACCTTAAGATCTTGCTCTATGTTAAATTTAATTTTTTTCGTTAATTTTTTATTCGTAAATAACTTTTTGTTACTTTTTAAATGTATTTTGGTAATTGGACCTTCACACCGAACACACATTCTCCGACAGCTGCCCCAGGTCCATACCTAACGGGGGTTCACCTACCCCGTTATACGGTTGGGTTGCTAGTAGTCCCCTTAAGCCAGATGCTCAGACATTCGTCCATACCGACCTACACACAATAATAATAATCTAGTCTAAGTAATATAATAATTATAAACTAGTAGTAACTAGTAATAGTAGTAACTATTATAAAATATTCCGCCATCGACCCTAAATACCCACACTGTAGGATAGGGGATGGTGACGCTGTATTTCACCATCAGCCCCTCACTACTAATAGAAATAGTATGGTTAATTACCAGCCACTCCCTGGAAATAATAGTAAATATTAAGTTCACTAGTTTTCGTGGTCCGCTTGACCAATTAATATCTTTCAATTAGTTAAGGTTTTTAGTTGAGATAAAAAAGTCAGTGTCACGAGCGGGATTCGAACCCACGATCTTCGGTTAGATACGCCGCTGCTCTACCACTTGAGTTATCGTGACCTCGATCCACTCGGACACTTAACTTCCCATTTCAACCCCACCTTTTGAATTTTCCCTCCTTTTTGCCATTTTTCAAATATCGTGTAATCTATTTGATTCTCGGCGACAATTGAAATGACCACGGAGAGCTTTAGTGCAGGTATACTTAATTTTTACTTATTAAATTAAGAATATATATATTCTTTTTATCATTATTTATTTTTGTAAAAATCTTACAAATTATCTTTGGTTTTTTAAACTTTTTCCTGTACTTTCTTTGTTGTCTTTCCTTCTGAGAAATCTATGATTTATTATAATTTGTCAAAATCGAGACTAAGAAACAAACATTTCTATTTTGTACATTGCTCAATTGTTTTGTTAGGTCATAAAGGTGAAAACATAAAAATCTCTAGAACCAACCTTTTAAATTATAAATTTAAACAAAATTTTTGGATCTATTCATTATTTTGGCAATTAACATTATTTTACTATTATTATCGTTGTTATATTACATGTAATTCATTAAAAATCGTGGTCCGATTAACTGAATAACAACTTTCAATTAATTAATCTTTATCTTTCAATTAATTAAGGTTTTTAGTTGAGATAAAAAAGTCAGTGTCACGAGCGGGATTCGAACCCACGATTTTCGGCTAGATACACAGCTGCTCTACCTCTTGAGCTATCGTGACTTCGATCCACTAGGACACTAACCTCCCATGTCAACCCCACCTTTTGAATTTTCCGAGTGGATCGAAGTCACGATAGCTCAAGAAGGTCGTGGGTTCGAATCCCGCTCGTGACACTGACTTTTTTATCTAAACTAAAAACCTTAATTAATTGAAAGATATTAATTGGTCAAGCGGACCACGAAAACTAGTGGAATTAATCTTTATGTGTTGGTTGAGATAAAAAAAAGTCAGTGCCACGAGTGGGATAATTTAATATTAATTACTTGAAATATTTGATTTTTGAAATTTATTTCTCCTTAAAGTACATACTTATACAAAATTTAAGATTGTTCTCGTGAAGAAACAATTAACATATGTTTTCTTGTATATGTGTAAGCCTAATTGGTGTACATTTGAAAATTCCAATAAAAATTGATTCGGTAGGAGTTGAGACAAAATTGGCTCGTTGGCAAAGTATATTGTATAATAACCGTAAGACCTCAGTAAACATCAAACTTCTTTCTCCAGGGGATAATATTTTCACTGAACAAGTTCAAAATTGTTCACTTTTATATAATATAAAGTTGGAGGAATAATTTGACTTTTCAAACTGCTTTTACCTCTGCAGTATGAACTTGTTTTGTTTTTTGTTACACAAAAAACTTTTTAAAAAGTATTGTTCATACGAAGCGTAAAAATGTTTCACGGGAAAGTGCTTGGGCTGGGTCACCGTACGATCACTCTTTCCACTCAGCGGGCCACAACTGTTCAACTCACCGTTGGTTTTATTTCAATTTTGGCCGCGTTTCATGTAATTTTCTCGCACCATCTGTTCCTATTGGTAAACTTGATCTTGTTCGGCTAGAATGTCGATAATCCTCCTGGCGATTCGTTTTGATTGTCTACAACTGTACGGAATTATCGTACATTTATTTTGGTATATAATAAAAAACATGGTTTGAAAAACGACGAAAAATTAATCCTACTTTTCAACCTTTGAAAGTGTCGTTAAGGAAAAATGTGGGAGCAATAACAAAAGCTATTAGCACTTAACGGCCCAAGTAAACGACATTTTGTAATGCACATCCATTAATGATTTTATCTTTGAGTGATACTTTGTTTTAGATGTAACTTATTGTTCCCCTTTTCACTCCTGACATTTTCCTGTAATGGAAGGCCTGATGTTGTAACATCGTTTAAAACTTTCTCGCATACCTAGTTGATAGTTAGACAAAATGCTAGTTATTAAAAAGCACATTGAGCAAGTGCTGAAAAACTGTAAACTGCTCGTTTTATTCCATTTCAAGGCATCTTTTAATCACTTTGACTCTTTTTAAAAGCAATGCATTAAACATTAGATTAGTCTGAACGCGATTCGTTTTCATTGTCCACATCATTAACATTAACATTCTCAACTGCGCTTTCATGGCCACGTACTTTTACATATTTATTACGCTGATCATAAACAAATCGTACATGTTTTTTTTAACTCTCTGATTGCTTAATATTTATTCGTTTTATTTAAATTTTCTTTCTTTACACAAATAACAAAAAGCCTAACTCATGAACAGGTCATTAGGGATAATCTTCCTGGCTTTTCTTTCAACCATATCTTATGTTGAATTAACCTTAACCTCTACTCTCGGCAAGGGGGATAAAATTAACTCAAGCGGAATTTTTTTTTGCTCAACATACAGAAGTAGGATGCTTATACGAGTTGGGCCGGGGATTAACGTAGCTGTTCGTCGGCCCATAAAAAAACACTCTTAATGTGTGTTTCTATTGTCAAAAATAAAGTTAAATAAACATTAATATCAATGGAGCTATTTAGACTAATTTATCTAGTATTACATATTTTCATTATTTTAATAAAGTCTTTCTTTTTTAATTAACGACAGGTAACATAATATAAATGTTAATTAAATTGTTTTATAACAACGAACAACGAAGAACAAGCAAACCAATTGGTCACCCATCCAATACATTTAACGTTAATTAAAAAGTTTAACCTTCAATTTTGTACAGTATTGTAAAATTAGGGCGTTTTAATTTTTTTAAACCTTGCAAAAAAAAGAAACAATTTACGTTTGACGTATAAACATAAAACAATTTAATATATAGTAAAACAGTATTCCGTCATTTATTATGAAATGTGTAACAATATCAGGTTTATTTCTATGTCTCCTAGAAGTATAATGTGTAGTGATAGTTTTATAATGATTACACAGAACTATATGAAAAATTATTTACATTATTGGAATTAAAATTATTTGGGGTCGTCGGTGGCCGCAACGGTTCAGTTAAAAGAAATTGTTGCAGAATATAACGCAGATCTACTCGCAGAATTATTTAATTGTATGAATAAATTTTGACTAGAGTTAAATAAAACGGAAAAAATGGAAAATTTCGTGGCTAATATATCAGGTTTAGCACAATAAAAAGCCGAAAATTCAGCAAAACTAAATTCACTTTCATTTCTTTCCAGTCCGAACATGTCCCCTCAAGTCAGAAGAGACATGCAGATCACCGATTTGCATATTACATTTTTAAAAAAATCAAATATGTCTGAACAGATTATTCATAAATTTTAAATCGCTTTCAAGAACCAAGTAATTATTTTAAAGTCTTTTCAATTTAAGTTTATATTAAGTTTTTAAGCGGGGCGTCGTTGGCCGCAACGGTTTAGGCTTTGACACGGCGCTCATCACTGTAAGGTAAAGGTCCCTGGTTCGAATCCAGCGGCCCTGAATTCGAACCCGACATACTTACAAATGGGCTTTTTTTTCAAAAACACCCTGAGGGTCTATATGACCTCTGCTGTTGCAAACCCTCATTTAAAACAAATAAATAAAAAATAAAATAAATAAATTTAAAAAAACATTAAATTGTTTAATCACCATCTAGAAGTGTAATAACATTATTGCACTCAATCAGATGAATTCACAGGAATTTCAAATTTTTTGGATTGAGGATAACCAGAGCGTGGATTCATATGCATTAAAAATCATCAAATATGCCGCATGATTTGCACTAAAAATATTAAAATACATAGGATGATTTTCAGGGACATCACCCAATCAATAACCAATTAACCAATTTTTCATTAATATTTAAAATACACTGATAAACAAAATAAACACATCATCCTTAAATTTTACTAAACTTAAACATAAAAACATAAAATTATTTGTTACGATATGTGTAACAATATCAGGTTTATTTCTATGTATAATAAAAGTATAAGTGAAAGTTTTATAATGATTACACAGAACTATACGAAAAAGTAAATCGAATACTAGAGCCACAAAAAGAATGCATGTTGAAACAAAAATTAATATATTGGCACAATTTCTTTATTTCGTTCTCATTTTTGTAGCAATACTTAGCTGAACATATATGAATGAATGTTAAATTTTATTAATCTTGTAATGCCAGAGCACATAAATTAATTTTTTAGTTTATCAGTTAAGGTAAGAACATTGATGTTTTTCTTTGGTGTTTTAGGTGGTTAAGATGCTGTTTGTCGTCGTTGTAGTTTTTGCTGTACTCTGGCTGCCGTACAGAGGGATGCTAGTGTACAATTCGTTCGCCGTCCTCTTCAATGGGCCACCTTTTATGGATTTGTGGTTCCTCATGTTTGCCAAGACTTGCGTTTACATTAACAGGTGTGTGCATGACAATTTCTTATTGACTATCGACTTAATAAAATGCAAATTGAACGAATATCATTTAATTATCATTACTATCACGTTCAATACTAATATCTATATCATTAACGTTTTGTCTAGCATAAATTGCTTTTTTGACTATTATTAAGTTAAACTTCTAAAACTTAGAATTTAAATGGATAAATAACATTCTGCTGGAGGTAAAAACAATGCTAAATCCGAACGACTTGAGAATATTGCCGAAATGTTGGTCTTTCCCACCGCGCTGTCGGAACAGTCAAGCTGTAAATTTAACTACTGACAACTATTAATAGAACAATTATGTTTGACTTTTACTAGACAGGTACTCTGTGAATCTTCTAGTCGTGCCTGGAGGGTAACTTGCGGACTCGACGAAAGCGTTCTATCCTCCCGATCGGACCATCTCGATCATAATAATTTTAATTATCTCTCAGAGCATCCTTCATTGAGTATCTTACAACATTATTTGGTCCGATTTAAAAGATTAAAGGTAACTAAAACGCAGTTAAAATCGCCCACTTTTACAATTGGATTTTGTAAATAAATTTTTGAATAGTCGATCCCTTTTTTGTTGTTTTTTCTGTAAAGCTTATTTCTACCTTTTTAATGGTTTGATTTTTTTTTAATTATACCATTTTTAAGTTTCAAATTTGTTTAGTGATGGTGATAAGTGATATAGATTTGGCTAGAACCATAGCATTGATAGAAAATGTAAAAAGTCAAGCGTATGGGGCCAGAGTGCAAAACATTCCCAGAACCACGGTTCGAAGGATCTTCCATCGCTACAAAGATACTGCTGGTAGGCGTAGATCAGGTCGCAATCATGTCATATTTCAGAGAGATGAACGTTTCATTGGTGTGAATGTACACCGTAATCGGCATTGAACCGCTCGTGAGATCAAGAAACGACTTCAACTTAAAAATTCAGTAGTTTTCGTGGTCCGCTCGATCACTTAATATCTTTTAATTTATAAAGGTTTTTAGTTGAGATAAAAACTAAAAATTGAAAAATGGCAAAAAGGAGAGAAAATTCAAAAGGTGGGGTTGTATGGGCAGTTAGTGTCCGAGTTGATCGAAGCCACGATAGCACAAGTGGTAGAGCAGCCGCGTATCTAGCCGAAGATCGTGGGTTCGAATCCCGCTCGTGTCACTGACTTTTTATCTCAACTAAAAATCTTAATTAATTGCAAGTTAAAAATATTGAGCTGTCGTTAATTTTGTTTGAACCATTCCTGCATTTCCTGCACACTCGAGAAACTTCCATAACCAAGCTTGCCAAATAATAACATAAGATTAATTTGGTAAAAAAGAAAAACAATTAATACTAAAGGTATACATATAAAAAAACATTTAGTTTTATTATTTGATTTTATTATTTATAATGTAATTGTCCATCTTCCATATTTCAGGCCTGAATACAGAAAAAAAATTATTACCATTTTACTTAGGCAAAAAGCGAGTATGAGATTGCTGGAATAAATAACTGGCCGAGTAAGATAACTGACTTGTAACTGTTCTCAAGTTTTTTGAGCAGTAGAATTATTATATATATAAAATGTGCAATTTTTCGAACTTGAATGAATTCGTTTAAACTGTCATTACATGGGTAGTTATGTCGGTTCATTTTACGAATTCATAGTCCAAAAACGTAGGTATGATTCAAGTTTTTTTCGTGACATGGAGAAAATATGCAAATACAGTAATCCTTTGACATTCGCGGGTGTTTGGTTCCAGAAACCTGCCGTCAAAGGTAAATCCGCGAATGTTGAGTCTATTTTCCTATCTTATAAGGAGGGTTATGTTCCATAACGCCAAAAATTGAGATACAATTCAGAATTTACAAAAAAAACAACAGTTTATTCAAAATAAACATATATAAGCCATAACAGATTTGAACATGTTAATTTTTTGATTGTTTGAATTTTTTGATGTGCACAGAAAGAAAGAACTATTAATTGTTCGCTGTTTCGCTGAATAATTAATTTCTTTAAGAATTTCTATTTAAAGATGCGTCGAAATCCATTGCTTTAATAAGTTGGTCCCTCAAGGTTAAAATTTCCCTGACCTGGTTTCAAGAAAAGTTTTGTCTGCGCAAAAAATGTAAAAATATAACATGTCCAGAATTTTTTTTCTTTCACCAAGGGTCAAGAAGGGCTTTTCCATTATGGGAGAGGAGTTATTTTACGACACAACTTCCACGAGAAAATAAACCGAACTGAGAAGAAAGAAGGATCAGTACGTTGAAAGCAGGTAAAAGTTTTCTGAGAATCAATTAGAATCAACCTCTAGTCCATGTTTTAAGAACTATTTTCTAATCTTCTTTTTTTCCGCGAATAAAGAAATCGGACTTCCGCAAACGTCAAAACTTTCTTCATTTTTTCATACGTGAATAACGAAAAACGCAAATGTCAAAGCCGCGAGCGTTAAGGGATTATTGTATGCGAGTTTCATTTGGCTATCCTCAAAATGAAAAAAATGTAAAATTTTTCAAAACTTGTGCTTAGCAAGGCGCTTAAATAAAATTAAGTAACACATAAAATTAAGAAGAACAACATAAACAACCATATAAAAAATCAACTAGAATCAAAATAAACTTGATTTATTAATCGCCAATACGGCGCATTGCAATGCTAAACCTGAACGACCGAACAGTCATGAAGGCGTAGTATATTGGAAGCGCCTTGCTAAGGACATATTTTGATAAACTTAACGATTTTCTCCCTTCGAGTAAAATCAAATCACTTTGCAATACCTTCTACACAATCGTTATTAAAAAACCATGAGTTACACCAGTATTCGAACACTGATTCCACACAATTATTGAATATATTAACAAGTTTTTTTAAATTTTTTAAAAGGATTAACAAAATCCAAGTATATTGAATATTGAGTTTGCTCCTCAAAGTAAATAAAAACGTACGTAAAAAATATGAGAGATAAAGAAAGTAAGCGAGAGTAAGAGGGAGGGTGAGAACGAGCGAAGGTAGGGTAAGAAATACAAAGAATCAAAATAAACTTGATTTATTAATCGCCAATACGGCGCATCGTTACGTTAAACCTGCACGACGAACCGGCATGTTCCTAAAGCCTATTTAAAGTTTTAGCTAATGACTAAATTAAATTACAGCAGTATAAGACAAAGCTTTAAGAAAATGTAACCAAAATTCTTTAAAGTTTCCACTTTAAATCTAAAACCAGCTCGTAATAACCCTCAGTCTTCTACGGCTCGCTGAATTTTAAAAGTATTAAAACTAAACCCTTTGAAATGGTGTAACATCTGGCACACAAGTATAGAGAGAAGGTTGAAGGAAATTAAATTTTCAGTTTTCTCCGCAATGTTTTGAAGATAAACAATTTTAAATATAAAATAATTAAATTAGTTTAGAGATTTTTTTAAATAAGTGAACTTTATTAATTATGAATTATGACTTAATTTAGATATTTGTGTTATGGTACAAAACCAATGGCCGCCGCTGAATATAACTGTAATATAATTGTAATATACAGATTCACATTGGTCACGTACTAATGTCCCGCTGGTTTTCCTAAAACCTACTCAACCAAAAAAATTTAAACAGTGTCTTTCAACCATAATATCCTATTTTTCAAAGTTGCAATAATATCGGTCTTTTTCACTTTCTTAAAAAAAGGGTTACAAATTAACAGGTTTGTTTTCAAATGGTAATCATTTCATATTTCATTTATGGTTTCATCAAGTCGATTCGATTTTAGGAAAAATGGCTAAATTCATGGAAAATCCGTTCATAAAAAGATACTGCAAAAATAATACGTTAAATGAGAAACCACAAAAGAAACTTAACCATTGTTCTTAGGATTTTAGGAGCCGGTGATTTTGGGAAGAAGCCCGTTTGTACGTTGGATCAGAATTCCGGGCCACTGGATTTGAACCCTGGACTTACAGTAATGAGTCGCCGCCACCATTAGGTCTCATTTTAATTAATTATATTTATTAATATTATTCATTTTTTATTTATTTTTATGAATTCTTGATATTTAAATCAGAACGAATTTAAGCAAACACATAAAAGTTTATTTTTATTTGAAGGTTTTAATAAACTTATCTACAAGAGGAAAGAAAAAAAAAGTCAATTTCTTTGTTCACGTGGTAAGTAACACAACGTGATTTCAAAAGTTCCGTCTCCACGGACTAATTTGTTTTCATCGTAATAATTGTTACCAACTTAGAAACATTCTAACAATAAACAATTCTACCGTAGAATTATATAACGATAAAACAAGCAATTTTTTGTTCCAGTTTTTATATTTTTATGGCCTTCTATTTTGCTTTGCATAATCCTGGAATTTCGTTTAGAATCCTTAAAAATTTATACCAATTTATTATTTATTTGTAAGTTAAATTAAATTGTTTATTATTTAAATGTTATTATTATGTTAAATTAAATGGCTTGTTAGTATTAAGGTCATTTAATAAATTAAAATCCAGGAGGAATAAAATAAGTGCATTTACATTAACTTATCTTTGTTAAGTGAAAAAGTAATCAGCTTTATTTCAAAAGCCAACAATTCATGGAAAACTCGTCTTTTTTTTACGTAATATATTCCAACAATAAAGTGCTCGTAAAATTAAAAATCAATCTAACAAAAATTCGATTATTTCGAAAGGCGTCAGTTTTGTATTTGGTTAATGTTAATTTACGCAAAATATCGTTAAGAACCATGAAGAATTTGATGATATGTATGATTTAACAAGGCGACAACTTTAGGTATAAATCATCAATTGCCCACTTGTGAACAAAATTTATTGTTATGCAAAAAACTGCTGAAGTAATCTGCTAGAAATTAAACCACAAACCTTATTTCGTACGATATTGATTCAATTCCAAATTAGTTTTAAATAAACGACGACGGACGACTGTGCTGAAACAAATAAACGCGTTTAATGAAATCTTTCCAATCCAGTATCGTAGAGGAAGATTAATCAATATCCGGTAACA